TAACGTACGAGAGGGGGACTTGGGGCTCACGAGGAGCCAGTGACAGGGTAGTAGTGAACACACTCAGAAGAGAAAAGATGTTTGAACAAAACGCAGCCATCACTTCTCAAACATAAATCCCTATCTCAATACTGAAGCCCCAAAGCGCCCTCCTTCACCTGAACTTTGCACTGTAGCCACATCCCTGGGGGCTTCCAGAAGTTTGTTTCAGGGATAATTCCCTCTTGTGTCTTCTTTTTCCTGCCTGTAACAGTAGAAGCCAGGGAAGAGTTTAATCTATGCGCCCCCCCACCCCCACCCCAAACTCTTCTGCCTCATGCCAGGAGTCCAGAGAGAGCTCAGGGTGTTCATCTTCTATTCAGAATCTGAAGCAGATTGGCTGATTTTGAAATCCGTACAAAAACAGATGGGGGAATCCCTCCTTTCCGAAACTCTTTCTTCCACAAACCACTTTCTCCCTGAGATCGAAATGGTGAGCGAATAGGGCCAGATCTGTCTTTTCAGAAATCTTCCTTGTAGTCCAATTCAATTCTGTTTGAAATACAAAGAAATCACACTGCCCTTAATAGATTAAAATTTAATAAAAGACATTAGGTCCGGTAAAATATGAATGCACTACTTAAAATTTTAATAGTAAATTAGGACCCAGATACAAAGAGGAGACAGTGATTTCTCCCCTTGGGATCGCTTCAGGCGCAGGCTGATTTTCGAGTGGGGGGCGCCTATTGCAGGGACCCTTTGTCCAGAAGCCTGAGGGGAATCTCCAGCTACTCCTCCTCACCCAGGGGTGCGGGGTGGTGAGGGGGGCTGTTCACATCTGTCTGCATCTGCCAGAGGACTGGACAGAAGCTATTGTCAAACAAAGAGGCTTGGCGAGAAGAAAGGAGCGCCTCCTGTAGGCACACAGTTGATCCATTTTCCATCTTGCTGCTTAAAAAATCAAATGTTTATTTTCCTTTTACTAGGTAGGTCTGTAGGTGTGCAGATGCACAAGTGTGAATAGGGGCTTGGGCATAGGTATGTTGAGGTCGTAGGAAGCAGGTTTCAAATTTTGGGTCATTTGCCTCCACCCCTTGGGTTTATTGCCAACTTTCCAATTGTTTAGATAGCTCGTGCTAACGGCGGGGCTGGAGTCTTTTTTCCTTGGAGAGAGGCTTCCACACTCTCTGGAGCACTTTGCAGCAATGCCTCTGGGCAAAACCGAAATGGGTTTTATTGATATCACCGCAACGACGTTGGTATTCTGGACACTCCTGAAAGGAGAGACTGCAAGATTGCAAGTCTTGGTTGATGAAGGAACAATTGCTTTTTCCCTCTAATGCAACACAATCACTGTTCATCTTTCACTTTGATTGGGAAATGGAGAAGTCTAACTCTATGACTTGACTTTTAAAAAATGTATGTGTTTTCTAGGAGGAAGGAAATCCAGGTAAATAAACTCTTGAATTGCTCTACGACCACATATTAATTTACTTCAGCTTGATAATTTGAAAACACAGCCTTCCTTTTTTTCTTGTCCAGAATTAGGGATATCACTGAGAAATATCAGAAAGATAAAAAAGTTATGTTAAACATTTTTTAAAATGATATATGAATTTCAGTTACCAGGAAAATATTCTCATGGGAGTTTTCTTGCTTAAAATAGTTTTGGTCAATAAATTCCATATCAAACAAAGTTTGTCCAGTCATGTCAACAGTGTCCCTCTCTATTGCATGAATTTATTATGGTACCTTATTTACCATATGAAGTGGTGACAAGTGTTTAGCATTTTGGAGATCAGTTGTCAGTTACTATTAAAATCAAGATTAATTCATATTAACGATATGCATTTCTCAATACTCCCAGGTGACAACATACATTAAAACAACTATTGCAAGTAATTAAGCTCAATGAAGGGGGAGGGGACAGAGAGAGGTTCAAAATACCCCAAATATTTGATTTTCAATTCAAGTTCAGCAGACTGTTGCCACAATAATGCTTGGGAAACTCCTCAGGGTTGCTTTTTACTTTACATCTAATTAGGTACCTAATGAAAGAGAAGAATTTTTTCCCCATGTGGTTTTTCTCCTTGATTTTCTTATGCCTTTTTTTAAACACATAAACACACTATTTAGGAGTGGCCATACCCAAAAGTTTCTCATGTGATTCACTTGCTGTAATAATCTGGGGAAATTGGAAAGAAGAGGACGTTTGTCTTCCGGTTATTTTCCATCTTCACTCTCACTTTGGCCCTTTGGCCTTTATCGAGTATCTATAGAAAACACACCCAAAATATTTTTATGGATTTTTTATTAGGCTTTAAAGATGCTCAACAGTTAATACTAATTAGACCATCCAAAGCCTTTTGAAGATTAAGCAAATTGGACAACCCTTGTTAATTAGAACATAATTTGAAGTTTGAAATTATATCACTGATGAAGTAGTCTAATTAGTATGACGATATGTTAATGGACCAGTGAGACATAGTGCCGGTAGAGTTTGGCATGAACCTCTTCACGGCTTGCAGGAAATCCTCCCTCCTATATCGACATTAATAAAAGATTTCTATAGACTTCAGCCTTTCCACGATGACATACAATTTATAGTACACACAATGCATTAGCTCATAGCACTGCTCAATTTTTTCACTATTATGAAAACTAATAAATTCGTCAAGCTGAATTAAGCATACAAATCAGATGAGGCATAGCAGATTACACAGTGAAGCGCGGTGTCTCCCGAGCCTAAATGAAATTTCAATCTAATAATTCCTTCCTGGCCCAGTCATAATTTGTTTAGAGATGTTGTTCTACTTCTTTCAAAGCGCTATTCGCACTATAATTAAATGATACTCAAGCTTTTAACTTTGATTTATTTCATTTCTTGAAGCTTGAGACAGTGAGAGCTGTACAATGTCATTTTTTTTGTTTCCTTGAAAATTACTCTGGCTGTTGTTGAGGCAGAAATTAAACACCTAAGCACTTACTTGAACTGTCCGGCACAAGCCACATTCATTCACTTCAACACTCCCCTCTCCCTGCCCCATGTCCACGTTTATCTGAGCTCACACCCGGGAACACTGCTGCTAGGAATCCCCTTCGGCTACTATTTATTATTTCCCCCCACACAGGGGAAGAGAAAGGCAAGCCCGGGAGGATCCAGGGAAAGCGGAAGGGAATTAAGGACCATGGACAGAGCCTGTCGCGCGCTTGTTGCTGCCGCCTTCCCCAGCACTCTGGCGACTCCTGAGGACAGTGGTCCCATCTTGAACCCGCTATTCTGCCTGGTTGAGGTCAGGGGTGGAGCGGCGGTCCCCTACTCTCCACCACCGCTTCCGGGAGCTGACCACCCGAGGGTTCCCCTTTTCCACTCTCCTTCCCACTCTGTTTTTGTCCCAGCGCTCGCCAGCGCCTCTCAGGCCTGCCGCCTGCTCTCGCACCTGCTCGCCTTCCCCAGGCGCCCAGTGCCTGCACCTGCTCCCGGTCAACCCCCGTCCGGATTGGGCCACCCGCGGGTTCCTGCGTCGGGGTCGCGGGGCCTTCTCACTCTCGCCTGCACCCTGCTCCTTCCGCTCTCTAGGGAGGTGACAGAAGCCCCCAACACCGCGGGAAGTAGAGAGAAAATGGGATCCAGAAGGAGAGGGAGGAAGCAGTGTGTGTGTGTGTGTGTGTGTGTGTGTGTGTGTGTGTGTGTGTCAGAGAGAGAGAGAGGTTATCTCCTTTTGCAACTGGAACTAAGAGTGTGTGTCCATCTCTAGGAAAAGTGGTCTGCAATGGGACTGGGACAGAAGTAGGAGTGAAGTGTCAGCTAAAAATAGGCTCCGCACGGAGAGGCTGTGGAAATGAAGATAAGTGGGGCTTGTGCCAGCCAGAGGGTGTTTGTGTGTGTGAGTGTGTGTGTGTGTGTTGTGGGGTGTATTCAGCAGCACATGCGCTGTGTAATTTCTGACCTTCCCTCTCCCTCTGTCAGTTGCCCCTTCTTCCTTTGATTGTGGCTAATGAAGAATAATAAATCCAGGGGCAGGGTTTGCCAGTGGATCCAAGACTCAACTCACACTGTACTGGATACAGGGAGGAGGAGGAGAAAAGGTGGGCAAGAGGAGCGCGTGTGTGTGCCTGTGTGTATGTGTGTGTCTGTGTGTTGTGTGGGGGGAGACACCGGGAGGGGGAGGAGTCGCATGCGCACAGACGACCCGTGCCTGCTCCGCGACTGTCCAATCCGCTGAGAGCTGCGAGAAATCGAGTGAGAGAAAGCCCTGCAGCCCCTCCGACCCCATGTCTCTTTGGCACCAGGCACCCGCCGGACCGTGGGGTGCTCGTAACAGAGCGCCGACCTCCGCTCGTATTGGGGTGGGAGCTCAGAGCGGCGCGCAGGACCAGGGTTGGCCGCAGAGTCTGTGTTCTCAGCGGTGGCCAGGAACCTGGGATCAGGGTCACCTGAGCTGACGGGGTGGGGGCGGGCCGAGTGGGATTGGAAGCCTGGAACTTAGTGGTAAGCAGGAGGCGTGGGAGGAGGCAGCCAGGTAAGAGGCACTCCCAGTAGTCCAGGGAAAACCCTACCCAACGCTGGCTTGGGCCGCAACTTTATTTGGGAGTTTCTTTTTCCGGTGAGACAGAGACCCGGCAGAAGAAGCGGGAGGGGCTGGAGGCTGGTCCTTAGGTAGGCATTGCTTGGCGACTGGAGCGCGGACCTGGCCACTTGGGTGGGGTTGAGTAGGGGCGCGATTGTGAGTAGCAGCCGCTGGACGCTGCAAAGGGGCGGCGGCAACAGAGCGCCGGCGGGGGCAGAAAAGGGGCGGCGGAGGGCGCGGTGGGGGAGCGCGAGGCGAGTGCGGGGAGAGCAGAAAGGACTCAAGCCTGAGGGGAGTAGAGAGGGAGAAGGGGCAGTACGAGAAAACTAGCAGGAGCCGGCGTTTCCTGGCAAGGGAGGGTGGAGGCGCGCGGGAGAGAGGGAGGGCGGGGGCGCGGGGGTAGGCGCGGGGAGAGAGGAGTATAACTCGCCGGCCGCGAGGAGCGGGGGCAGTTTCGGGCACCGGGGTCTGCAGCCGGCGGCAATCGGAGTCAGGCATCGGTTCAGACTGACAGCAGAGGCGGCGAAGGAGTGCGTAGCGGAGACCAGGGGTGCGGAGCCCGGAGGCGGCGGCGGGTGAGCGCAACTTCGCAAGGCCCTTCCCAGCTCCAACCCCGGCCCAGCAGTTCTCGGAGGGTCCCGGCAGTCGGGGCCAGGGAGTGCCTCTACGGACGAGCGCCCCGGCGGGCGAGAAGATGATGATGATGTCCCTGAACAGCAAGCAGGCGTTTAGCATGCCGCACGGCAGCCTGCACGTGGAGCCCAAGTACTCGGCACTGCACAGCACCTCGCCGGGCTCCACGGCTCCCACTGCGCCCTCGGCCAGCTCGCCTAGCAGCTCGAGCAACGCTGGTGGCGGTGGAGGCGGCGGCGGCGGCGGCGGAGGCCGGAGCAGCAGCTCCAGCAGCAGTGGCAGCAGCGGTAGCGGCGGCGGGGGCTCGGAGGCTATGCGAAGAGCCTGTCTTCCAACCCCACCGGTGCGTATTTCTGCATAATCACCGCTTAAAGGCACATTTTGACAGCCCCTTTTATCTGCTTGATGTTTTTTTCATGTCTGCACAGCAAATCACCCCACACCTCCAACCAATTTTCCCCCCTCTCTCTCTTAAGTATTCAGTGGGTCTTGCCTTTCATATTAATTTTTATGACCTGGGATGTTGCCTGTGCGCGTGTTGTGTTGTGTTGTGTTTCGCTGTGTCTACAGGCTCACTTTCCTCCTCCTCCTGCACTCTCGGCTTCTTTCGGTGGCTTCTCTCTTTTTCTCTTCACCTCCTGGTTTCAGGATTATTATTATTATTATTAATTATTTTAACGATCTGGGAATGTTGTAGGCGCGGCGGCGGTGTCAAGCCCTGGGCCTGGGCTTCCGGAGAGAGCGCGTACAATTCCCTGCTGAGCGTAATGTGTGCCTTCTACTTGCAATTGCAGAGCAATATATTCGGTGGGCTGGATGAGAGTCTGCTGGCCCGCGCCGAGGCTCTGGCAGCCGTGGACATCGTCTCCCAGAGCAAGAGCCACCACCACCATCCGCCCCACCACAGCCCCTTCAAACCCGACGCCACCTACCACACTATGAACACCATCCCGTGCACGTCGGCCGCTTCTTCTTCGTCGGTGCCCATCTCGCACCCTTCCGCGCTGGCAGGCACGCACCACCACCACCACCATCACCACCACCACCACCACCAACCGCACCAGGCGCTGGAGGGCGAGCTGTTGGAGCACCTGAGTCCCGGGCTGGCCCTGGGCGCTATGGCGGGCCCGGACGGCGCTGTGGTGTCCACGCCGGCTCACGCGCCGCACATGGCCACCATGAACCCCATGCACCAAGCAGCGCTCAGCATGGCCCACGCGCACGGGCTGCCGTCGCACATGGGCTGCATGAGCGACGTGGACGCCGACCCGCGGGACCTGGAGGCATTCGCTGAGCGCTTCAAGCAGCGACGCATCAAGCTGGGGGTGACCCAGGCAGATGTGGGCTCCGCGCTGGCCAACCTCAAGATCCCCGGCGTGGGCTCGCTTAGCCAGAGCACCATCTGCAGGTTCGAGTCCCTCACACTGTCGCACAATAACATGATCGCGCTCAAACCCATCCTGCAGGCATGGCTCGAGGAGGCCGAGAAGTCCCACCGCGAGAAGCTCACCAAGCCTGAGCTCTTCAATGGCGCGGAGAAGAAGCGCAAGCGCACGTCCATCGCTGCGCCAGAGAAGCGCTCACTCGAAGCCTACTTTGCCATTCAGCCTCGGCCCTCCTCTGAAAAGATCGCCGCCATCGCGGAGAAGCTGGACCTGAAGAAAAACGTGGTGCGCGTCTGGTTCTGCAATCAGAGGCAGAAACAGAAAAGAATGAAATATTCCGCCGGCATTTAGAAGACTCTTGGCCTCTCCAGAGACGCCCCTCTCTTCGTCCCCCCTTTTCTCACCTTCTCTCTCCTGCCTCTTTTCACTTTTGGCGACCAGAAACAATTCCAGTAAATGTGAATCTCGACAAATCGAGGACTGAAGAGGAAGCGAACAAGCGAACAACTGAGCCCAAGCCGGTGAGAATGTGAGACAGTTTCTCAAAGGAAAGAATAACAAAAGATGGCATTTGTCTGTTGTAGCAAAGTTGTCCCTTTGAACCCCACCTCGGATCCTTCAGAGGAAATGTGGAGATGGCTGTTTGCAGGAAGGCAGACGAGACAGCCTTTAAAAAGTCCACAAGAATGATCAAGTAAGATTTGTTTTTATTCTTACAGACATCACCCCTGTTCAAGTTTAAAAGTACACTTTGCAACTATTTTTCAGAAATAGAAATTGATTCAGGACTAAAACTTTAAACTAGAGTTGATGCTTAATGTGATAGAGACATCTCTAAAGTATTTTGAATTTTAAAAAAAGATGGCAGATTTTCTGCATTTACACTGTATATTATATATATATTTTTATTGTGGTTCTTACCCCCTTTTTCCTTCTCTGAAGTGTTAATGCTTAAGAAAAGAGTTGCGCCTGCTGTGTCCACTGATCTTGAAAGCTATTATTGGTTATTGCAGAACAACCCTCTCTGTAAATTATTAATTTATCTCTCTAACAACTTAATTTTGTGCACATTCTAATTAATTAAACTTCTTTCGTCTAAAAAAAGTGGGGGAAATGTATAGCTAGTAACATTCAAAAAATTTTGTTTGATGAGTTTACCGAATTTTTACAGCTTTCCTCCTATACTGTGTTCCTTTTGACCCATTTGTATATTCTCACTTGAATGAAGATTGTTTTTTTCTTTGTTTTTACTGGTAGTGTTCTGATTTGTGAGTAGACACTCAGTAATGGATGTCTTAATCGTGTAGACCTGATTCACTGTCTGAAGTATTGTTTACTTCGTTACATATTTAATGGGGATTCCCACATTGTCCCCATGACACATGAGCGCTCTCACTTACCCTTACACACACACACACACACACACTCACACACACCTCTAACAGAAGGGAAGAAGCAGTTGGAAGCATGACTGATGCACCATTTTCTAGCTTTAGGTGCATTTGCCACTTGGTGTTTGCCCTTCGCATTTTAAGATTTCACCAAGTTATTTCAGTCTTCCAGTTTTCAATTGCTTTGTTGGCTACATGTTAACATTTATAGGAATCCTTCAGTTTTTCCTTTTGGAGGTTTGTTTGTAGAAAAACTAATTTGAACTATAAGAAAGACAGTGCACTGCTTGTAAATTCACATTGTTTGGAAAAATTCTTTTGGAACAAAAAATTAGGTACGTGATAACTGGTACCTTATCTACTGTAAATATTTCATTAAAAATGATGCACACATAGATATATTCTTACAAATTTTGCTGTATTGCTGTTCCATTTGAGGTTCTCCAAAGTCTTGAGTTCTGTATATGGCCTGGTTTCTTGTTTTTATTAATAGATGGTTTATTTACTATGGTAATGTATTAATTTATTTTTGGTGTTGTTTGATTGTCTTTCATTGAAGAGATCATTTTAATGTTTTATTGGGAACGTATGCTGCTTTTTCATTAAAATATGTTATTAAAATTAAATGGCTTTTAAAATGTGATGTTGTTTTAATCATTTATGTGGGAAGTGTTTTGGTGGGAGACTTTTTAAAAGGAGGAAGCACATTTTGATGATTTATTAGGGAGTGGTTGTTATGAAAGTATAGCTTGGACTTAGTAGGGGCTGTTTCTCTGGTAAAGTATTAAAGAACAAGGTTTACAACAGCTTTTTAATAGTGAGAGCTCATCTCACAGGATACTTCACTTTCCTGCCCAGAAGAAATTACGATATTTGGCTCCAAATATCTCCCTTGGAGTTCTTCCTTCAGACTTGCAATAATTCTGCAAAAAGAATCTTTATAAGCAGAGATATTGGATGGAAACAATTTCATGCATTCCCTCCCATCTCTCAGGAGTAAGAAAGGAACTCAGCTTACTTTTTAGCAGCTCTAGGCGACTGGGTGTGGCAAGAGCCAAGGCCTGGTCGGAGGAGTACAGCACCCTGGTTGAGGCCCAGAAACGAACCCACTATAGCCTTCAGTTTGGTCACCACCACGGGAAAGCAACAAACCCAGACAGGGCAGGAAGCACCTGAGTTGCTGGCTTAGGAAGTAAAGTCTCTCTCTCTCTCTCTTCCCTCATTTCCCATGACCTTTAAGGAAACTCACATAGCAGAGTAGGGCTGAGGAAGAAATGCTATGTAGTTAGAAGTAGCAAATTTTTGCCCTCTTCTGTGATTCACCCTGACACCAGAGTTGGTGGAAAGTCTGTCTGACTCTGGTTGGCACTGACACAAGAAAATTCATCATGCTTGATGCAGTCATTTCTTCTTCTGATCCTAGCTTAAACACATCTCTCCACTATTTTAATAATATTCAGACTCCCTACAACAGTTGGACAACATACTGAATATCAGGTTTTCAAAGATATTTTTTCCCTCAGTAAGTGTCTGGTTTAGATATTTGTGTTATTAATATCTCATACTATTAATTAATATAAGAATATCATGCTAATCTATAGCTCAAATGAGAGGAAGAACTAGATCATTCTCCAGGAGTAATTCTATTAACCTGAGCTGTGACTCCTCTGATGTGGAACTATCTTGAAATGTTTCTTATTTTGGAGACAAGATTAGGAAATACCCTATGAGTCAATGAAAGTTGTTACAGTGACTCAAGTTGGGATTAAATATTGTTGGAAATATCATAATTTCTGGATGTAACAAAAAGCGTTGTGAAAGTTAGATGGAGAATGGGTGGAAGAACCCCTTTTTATCACTGAAATAAGAAAGACACCTGAAGAAACAAAATCTGAGTGTCCATTAGAAATAATGAGATATTGCATAGGTGCCTAAGAAAACATTAAAACTTGTAGGAATTTAAAAGAAAACATTGTGAGTTCAAGTATAGTAATATTGATGGTTTAATTCTATTTCTGTCTTGAAGGCTGAAAGTTTCTTCTTCTGTTTCCCTTTGTATTCTTAGATTCGGTTTTCCTGAAAGTCTTTTCAAACAGTCAGCATATGCTGAGTTAAACTCAGCTCGGTACAATGCTGAGTACTAATTTCAGTACCATGGATAGTAACTATAGCACTCAGCCCTACTCCAACTCACCTTTGACCAAAAAGTTTTTAGCTAGCTAGACAACCTTCTGCTTTCTTTCTTTCTCCAGAGTGGAGAAAATGAATAAAATACTTGAATGTGCTTATCTAGGATAAAAATGATATTCAATAAATAACACCGTTCCCTTCTCATATGTGGATTTTTAGTGAAATCCACTAAATTCCACTAAATTTAGCTGGCAGGAAATAAGACAGATGTGCTAGTGTCTTATTTCTACAAATATAGCATCTATAAATGAAGATGAAAACACTGTAAAAGTAGTAGAAATTGAGAAACATATTGGACAGAAATAAAAAGGAGTTTTAAAAGTGCTTTTGAAGTATATGACAGCTTGCATATGTGCATACATGCCTAAGATTTTTGTGAGAAAAGTGACATAACAACAACTATCCACATATACTTCCATAGTTGAGAGTAAAGGCCTATGTTTTCTCCTGATTCACCAGGTGTTCTTTGTCTCTCGTGTTCCTGGACTTTCAAAAGTACATCGCATTTTGTTAATCTTCTCTGTGCTAGGGTAAGAGAAAACTTTCTTGTCTGCAAAATGGAAATATTTTCATTCTTAGAGCATGCTTAAATATGTGTTGTATGGGAAAAGCTGAAAAGAAATATATTCTGAAAGTTTTTACTAATGAGAGTTGCAGAGATACAGAGACAATACCAAACCAAAGAGATTTGGAGAGAAGAGGTTGGTCTTAAAGAAAAAATTAAAGCTAAGAGTAGGCTGAACCATGTATAAATTGTTGAGAAATATCCATTTGGTGTTGACTTTCAAAATACTCAAATGGATAAGTAGCACAATGTGTCTGAAAATTCTTGTCATATCAATCAAATCCGCTGGCATTTTTGACTTATTTCCTCATTTTCCCCAAGGTCCACAATTGTTATTTTGTTGGAAAGAGATATATTATGAATTGACTTAGTAGCACATATAGACATCTTGAATATTATGTTTCAGTATTATGTAGTTTATTTTTTAGACTTCCCTAAAAGCAAATGATCCAATCTTTTTGTTCAATGTGGTCATCTAAATCCAAACTGAAATGGAACAGAAATGATCATGTAAGCCCTGGTTGATATCTAAGCACCCTTCATAACATTATAACACCATCCAGAAAGAAGTAAGTTTCTTTCAGATATCTGACATTACATCAGTTGATCGACTTTTTATCAGATTATGTTTCATTGACACATAGCTTGGGGAAAAATAATGTGAGTATGAAAAAGCAAATGAAGTAGTTAGGATTTACATACAATGTAATACTCTTCTGTTTTCCATAAAGTTGATTTTTAAAAATAAGTGATAGTACATAACACCTTTCAATATCAAGGAGAGATCCTGTTACTTCTCTTTGTGAAGAGAACTGAAACTTTTTCAAGATAATTGAAATTTGAGGGATAAAAATGTTTTATCTCAAATTTCAAATAAATCAATTTATTTTGACCTATCTATTCGAGAAGCTCTTGAGAGATAGTGAAAAATGCATAGAAAAATTCTCTTGATTTTAAAAATAATATTATTCAGAGAATGAAGCTCAAATTTTTCGAGGTAGGCAATGAGAGTAAGTTTAGAAATTTGTTTTTGGAATTGTTTTGCAAAAACCCTTTACATCTCTAGGTAAATGATTCATATTAGAACTCAAAACTTCACTTTACTTTTCAGTTGGTCTTGGAGGGGGTTGCTGCAACAGAAGGGAAAAAAGTTGGATTGGTATCCTGTAGGACAAAAAGGAAGATAAAGGTTTTCAGATAGTTATGATGTTCCTGAAGTCCACATTTGTCAGGAGACAGATTGATGGCAATGAGAAAAAAAAAATCACTAAATTTCCCCTGCCTTGCCCCTTTAAAGGAGTCATTTCCAGTACTGAAAGTCTATTATGAGTGAATTAATAAATTACACAGCAAATTATTAAATCCAGATAATTACAAGGAATAAGTAAGTAATCATTAGTTATCTCAGCTAATTACTGTGGGTCAGAGCCAGCCGGAATGTGAAATCCTCCGCGGGAATTGAAATTAACTTTGCACAGTGAGTCTCTCTGCTTGACATCCCCAGTCTGTAGGCACATGGCAGCTCCCCTGTGAGCCAGTCTTTCTATTTAACTTGGAGAGAATAGAAATAAAATTAAGTGGTGATGTGATAATAGGAAGCTGCTCAGAAAGCAAACTGTGGGTTTTATTCTGTACTTTCAACGCCTGGAGATGAAAAGCTTTATTTACACCGTTTCAAAAAAATTTAAAGCACCCTTGTTGAGATGGGCTCCCCGAACACACATGCACACATATCTACAGTCGACTGGTGTGACAGTCAGATTAGCAGCACATGAAGAAGGCTGAAGAAGAACAAACGTTTTGAGCCCTCTCTGTCTCTCTCCCTCCCTCCCTCCCTCCCTTCCTCCTTCTCTTCCTCCCTTTTCTCTCTTCCTCTCTCTCTCTCTCTCTCTCTCTCTCTCTCTGATGTGGGGAAGGGGGAAGGCAGCAGTCAGAAATAAAAAAAAAATATTGCTCTTTGCTTTCATTCCATGCAGTGGAAAGGCTGTGGAAAAGTGCAGCCTGGCCTAATAATCTGGTTGTTTTGTTTTTGTTTGGGTAACAATATGCTTTCATCTTGCCACAGGAAGAGCCAGCTTAGTGCAAACGTTGTCTCTCGTTGATCTTTTGCCAGATGCTTAGAGAACTGGTGTCACTTGTTTTCTTCTCATATAGCATCACTTTCTGAAGCCAGCCTCCCCTATCCTCTCTCCCTCCACTCCCACCAACCCCTGAGGCCTTCTCAAAGGGCAGAGAAGAGGGCAAAGCCTGGTGCCCATTGGAAAGTGGAAAATACATCAGTGATAATGTAATTGTGTGTATCACAGGGCTGGGAAAGCCTGGACATACCAAGAAGAAAAAAATCTGCTGTTAATGTATTAAAATTAGGGGTGGTAGAATCTAAGAGCTTTTTTTTTTTTTTTTTTTTTTTTTTTTTTTTTTTTATCAATTGCAATTAGATGGACAGTCTTTCCGCTCATTCCCTGCTTTAGTCTGGGATGATAATAAAAATTTAATGAAGCCTGGGACGAGCAGAGAGCTCTGTCTAGGGACCGTGGAATAGAATATTTTAACTGTACATTTATACCAACTGTCTGGCTTCAAAGACGTGACTGCTTTTAATCTCGAATTAGAAAACCACAGACTTGAAATTAAATATTAGATACCCCCGGATCCCCTTCCTTTCTGAAATATTGTCACGACTGTTTTCCTCCATTGCCCCGTAACACACATATCTTAGGTCTCCAATTACATTTCCGTGAATAATAGATGGCTTTGATAGGGTGCAGTATTCTGGTGCTTTTGTGTTTTTGTGTGTGTGTGTGTGTTTTTTTGTTTTTTTAAAATAGAGTTAATGCAATATTAATTGGCTGTAGATGTTATAAGAATGCACAGCCCCATTTTCAGGAACAAATCGATGAGATAGGGATGCGAGAGAGGGAAGACGCAGGCTTTTCCCAGTGTAGGTCACTTCTTTGCGGAGAGTCCTTCTCAGAGCTTTGGGTAAGTGAAGAGACGCCTTAAGTTCCGCGGTCCCAGCTGCTCAGGCTCTGCAGCCTGGAGGCGGGAAAGGGAACAGTGAGACTGAGAAGCAGGACGCGGGGACAGGCGATCGCCCAGAAGCTTTCCTCGCTTTGGGAGGCTAATGCTACGCGCCCGCCTGCGGGGCT